TGCTCTGCTGTCGGCTCCTACCGTGTTGGTCTCACTGACTCTCACTACCATGAAACAATGTCCATGTAGTTGGGATGATTGTTTCTGACAGTCCAGCCTACATGCTTGTAGGTTATATAACTAGATTAGGAGCCACCCTTCCCAACCAATTCCAAGGGAATGTGCAGAGAGCTGCTCCAAGTAGCCTGGCTTTAGTAAAACATTCACCCAGAGTGAACACTGTGGATGCTATAACTTTATTTTCCCATCTGTCAAGTACTCAACACAATACCTGGGGGAGAGGGTGTAACTGCCAGTCCCACGGGACATAAGAGTTAGATGACACTTCTCCAAATATCCCAGGCAGATTAAAGCAAGACAGGGCTACACAACTAGTTTGACCAGCTTCCAGAGATCAGAGTGAGAAAGAATTATTTTTGGTATCCTCCAAAAGACCTGGGATGAGCCTATAATAATACTAATAACATTCAGCTCATTTTTTAAAAAAATTGACCCCAAAAAATTACTCCAGAAATCATAATCACCTAGTAAAGTCACAGCAAATAAGTTTTTACCCAGCATGAGAATCATTTTATAAGGTAGTTCTGGCTGAGCTCTAGCATATAAGTCTTTAAGTTGACTTTCCACAGTCACACACACACACACACACACACACACAAACACACAAGCTTGGACAGTGACTGAGCCAGATTAGGATAGGCTGTGCACTAAAATCTCAGTGGCTTAATTCAAAAGCAATTTACTCCTCACTCACATTGGCAGAGACTCCAGGAGTTTTAATCCTGTAACTCTGCTCTTTCAACGTATATCTCCCTGATCTCCAAGGCAAGAAAATAGCAAACTGAGGAAGAGTGCTGATGCTGGAATGCTTCATATGGAAAAGATGCTCACTGACCAGCAAGGGGCTGGGAAATGTGGGGGAGCCAATAGATATTGGGTGAGCAGTGTCTCTACTACAGTGTCCATGAACATGTTCTATGCTTCCAAGGATGTGATTATTAATTTTAAAGATTTAATTTAATTTAATTTTGTTAATTAAAATTAGTAACTTTTATTAATAAATTTATTAATTTTTTTGACTGGACCGAGATCCAACATTGTTCTGAATGTTTCTGAGAAGGTATTCTTTGGATGAGATTACCATTTAAACCAGTGAACTTTGAGTAAAGCAGATTACGCTCCATAGTGCAGGTGGACCTTGCCCAGTCAGTCAAAGGCCTGATAGAATAAAGGCTGACTTTCCTCAAGAAGGAAGGAAATTCTTCAGCTTATGGACTTGAACTGCTGAGCTGCAACTCTTCCCTGAGTCTCCAGCCTAATGGCCTCCTCCATCAAATTTTAGACTCTCCAAGCCTCCACATCACATGAACCAATTTCTTAAAATAAATCTCTATACACACATATACTCACTCACAGACGCTTAATGCTGTTTCTCTGGAGGACTTGACTGATACAAAGATAAGTTTGAAAAATACACTTGCTCAAAGCCTTTTTCATAAGAGGAGAGAGAGTAAGAGCATGTTTTCCCAAAGCTCTCAAGCTGTACTTAGCATGTATTTGGTGCTCAAGATCCTAATACTGGTCTTTTCCTCTCTTGGAGCCGTCTCACCTTCACAACCTGAATGAACCCATGGACACCTGAGGAAGCCAGCACATTACCCCAGCCCATGATTTGGGCACCATTTTTATCACTGGGTTATTTTTTTAACACCCCACAAAAAACAACATTGACCATTGTCTTTTTTTTAATTTTTTATTTATTAATTTGCTTTGTTACAGATGTTCCTCATTTTTCTCCCATTGACACCTTCCTCCCCTTCCCCCCCACTGCATCCCCAGCTTTGTTGTTTATGTTCATTGGTCATGCATACATGCATATAAGTTCTGTGGTTTATCTCTTCCCGTTCCCCCACCCCCTCTTCTGAGGGATGTCAGTCTGTGCCCTACTTCCATGTTTCTCGGTCTACCATATTCCTCAGACTGCTATGTTTTGTATATAAGTGAGATCATGTGGTATTTGTCTTTTTCTGCTTGGCTTGTTTCACTTAGGATAATACTTTCCAGGTCCCTCCATGTCGTCTCAAAGGATAAGAGGTCTTTCTTTCTTACAGCTGCAAAGTATTCCATTCTGTACATGTACCAAAGCTTTTTATCCACTCATTTACTGATGGACACTTGGGCTGTTTCCAGATCTTAGCTATTGTAAATAGTGCTGCTATGAACATAGGTGTACATATATTCTTTCTGATTGGTGTTTCAGGCTTCTTAGGGTATATTCTTAGAAGTGGGATCACTGGGTCAAATGGCAGTTCAATTTTTAACTTTTCGAGGTGACACCATATTGTTTTCCACAGCGGCTGCACCAGCCTGCATTCCCACCAGCAGTGTATTAGAGTCCCCTTTCCTCCACACCCTCACCAACACTTGTTGTTTGATGATTTGTTGATGGCGGCCATTCTGACAGGTGTGAGGTGATACCTCATTGTTGTTTTAATTTGCATCTCTCTGATGATTAGTGATGTTGAGCATTTCTTCATATGTCTCTTGGCCATTTGTATGTCCTGTTTGGAGAGGTGTCTATTTAGGTACTCTGCCCATTTTTTAATTGGGTTCTTTGTCTTCCTTTTGTTGCGTTGTATGAGCACTCTATTTATTTTTGAAATTAACCCTTTATCTGATGTATCATTGGTGATTATGGTCTCCCATATAGTGGGATCCCTTTTCGTTTTGATGGTTGTTTTATTTTCTGTGCAGAAGCTTTTTAGTTTGATGTAGTCCCATGTGTTCATTTTTTCCTTTGTTTCTGTTGCCTTAGGTGATGTATCAGTGAAAATTCTGCTGTGTATGATGTCTGAGATTTTGTTGCCTATATTTTCTTCTAGAATTTTTATGGATTCATAAGTTAATTTAAGATTCAATGCAATCCCCATCAAAATACCAACGACATACTTCACAGACTAGAACAAACACTCCAAAAGTTTATATGGAACCAAAAGAGACCTCGAATAGCCACAGCAATCTTGAAGAAGAAGAAGAAGAAAGTAGGAGGGATCACATTACCAGATTTTAGGTTATACTACAAAGCCCCTGTAATCAAAACAGCCTAGTACTGGCACAAGAACGGGCAGATAGATCAATGGAACAGAATAGAGAACCCAGAAATTGACCCAAGACAATATGCTCAATTAATATTTGACAAAGGTGGCAAGCACATACAGTAGAATCAAGACAGTCTCTTCAATAAATGGTGTTGGGAAAATTGGTCAGCTACCTGCAAAAAAATGAAGCTAGAACACCAACTTATACCATACACAAGAATAAACCCAAAATGAATAAAAGACTTAAATGACCATTGTCTTTTCATTGCCTCTCCTTTTAGCCCTCTCCCACACCTTATTCCTCTGTTTTTATCCCACGAATACAGTTGTTAACCCCATGTGAGTTCCCTAAAATGGGGCTATTTGTCCATTTAACATATGTGCTAACACAACTCTAAGAAAGGACAGTGTTCTACTCTGCTCTTCCGACACAATTCACCACCAAACACCACACCAAAACTAACCCGGGTTTCCTCCTGCAAATAACCCAGCCAAAAATCCTCTAAAATCCAGGAGAAGTAGACTCCAAGAACACAAAAGCTAATGCTGCCGAGACGCAGCATTGTCATCTCCATCAGTTATCAATGCCCTTGCACTGACCCATGGGAACAGATATTGACACCAACTCTCAACACAGCTTTGATTCCTATCCTAGCCTGTTATATGACTCAGTATCCCCATCTGTAACAAAAATAAGAAGACAAAAATTTCCTCCAATTTCTTACAAGGATTAGTATAAGCACTGACAAAACAAGCATTCATTAAGTAGAAAGTGTGTTAACACATATAATATGAAATTGATAAACAAGTTCTGTCTGAGAGAATTAGCACCACAACTAAAGTAGCCTTCCTTCTACCTGCAGCCATTCTCTTCGAAATAAGGAGCCTGGTGTTTTGCATAAGTTGCCTATTGTCCTCTTATGTTATTGCAGCCGAATGTCTTTAGAAATGATTCTGCACCACTGAAAATAAAACCCATGTAGGACCTAGAAGAGCCATGTATAATCACTGGAGCCAAATTCAGGTTTTTTTAAAGAGCTCCTGTAAAACCATCTATAAATAGAAAGGCTTTCCCCTTATTTTTAATTACTTCATTTTAATGAAAACACACTCCATGGGGAAAGGACTGGAAGAGTGCCCTGGGGGCTCACAGCCTGAGTGGCACAGATCAGACCAGGGCCTGCCCTTCCAAAGGGAAGGTTGGCTCCAGCCAAAGGAATCAGTGTAGGGGTGTCACTGCACTCCAGCTGTCTCTGGTGTGTTCTCATTCCAGGTGAGTGAGTCCAAAGCCACTGTTGGAGATTTCCATGGGTGTTTCAAGTCTTTTAAATCTTATAAATATTTCTAGAACTAGAATGAGAATGTAATTTACTCGTATTTAAGTGAATGTGGACCACAAAGCGCTTCTCTGTGAGCTGGAGGAGGCCATTAGATGAAGGCTATAGCTCCCATGTCTGTTTGCAGATGGGGTGATCTGAGAGGAGCGGGGCCAAAGGGGGTCGGGGAGACCTCCTGCTCTACATCCCCTCCCAGGAAGAGAGATCACTCCTGGGAGGATAGTAACCCCACTTCCACCCAGACCCAGGTGAGATGCCGAGGTCCGGGCTGGTCCTGCCTGATGGCCCCAGTGTGCCTATGTGATGCTCTGTGTCCAGGGAAGTCAGACAGGCAGAGGAGTCAGGCCCAAGGAAATCCATTCTGCTTCTTGTGAAATCTTAGTCTTCATGTCCCCAGCCCCAAATGGCTCCATCCCCTAATGGGAAGGTGTGCCCAGGGTTAACCCCAGCCAAACAGACTGGCGAGCTGAAGTGAAGAGCTCCCTGTCTTCCATTTCCTGTCTGTGCCTGAAGAGACCAGGTGATACTCACCCAGGAGCAGAAGGTTGTTACTCTGTCAACTACCAGCTGTACGAGCTCAGACAGATTCTTCAAGCAGTCTGTGCCTCAGTTTCATCATCTATAAAATGGGAATGAAAATTACACCTACCCACTGGGTGATTGTGAGGACTAAGCTAACTAATGTATGGAGCCTAGAATAGCTCCTGGCACATAGTTAAGCTCTATATAAGTATTTAGCTGATATAATTATTGCACATACAAATTAAAATAATCATGATAAGCATAAACCCATAGCATTGATTAATTGCACAGAAACACTATGAATCTGTTCTAATCAATTATGTCCTGTCTGAGAGGAAAGAACAGACACGTCATAAAATACAGAAGTGTAGATATATGTATTCTTGTTTATGCATTTTGAGTGAAATAATTTACGATTGTTATGACTCACTTTATTTGTTCTCAGAATGGCGATTTTATCATTTCTTGTCTCTGGCTCACAAGAAGCAGGTAGCAGGGCCATTCACTGGGATGTGTAATAAAGCAAACCCACTGCGACAAGAAGCAGTGACAGCCTGAGAGTTTCTGCTCTCCTCGTGCCCTGGGCCACAGATCTCAATGAAGAGTACTCCCCTGTTCTCTCCTGGTGGGGGCTACCCTGATGTCACATCAGGACCGCTCTGGGCCCCCAGCACCCCGGCTCAAAATGAGGGTTTGGACCAAATTAACTCTAAAGCCCCACATTGACTTCTAAATTTTGTATTGCAGAGAGAATGTTGGAAAAAGGAAGGGAGGGAGGGAGGGAAGGAGGGAGAGAAGGAAGGAAGGAAGGAAGGAAGGAAGGAAGGAAGGAAGGAAGGAAGGAAGGAAGGAAGGAAGGGAGGGAGGGAGGGAGGGAGGGAGGGAGGGAGGGACAGAGGGAGGGAGGGAGGGAGGGAGGGAGGGGGAAGGGAGGGGAGGGGAGGGAGGGAGGAAAAAGACTCACTAATCCTTATTTCTGTCCCAGGGACAAAAATGGAATCTGAGAAAGAAGACCTGGTTATTTACCTGTGAGTAGAATTTCTTAAATATTGTGGGCTGGCTTCTCCATTGAGCTTTGTCTGTCGTCTGCTTAGATGTCAATGACACAGATGCTCAGGTGCTGTCTGGGCCACACTTCTTTGTATATCAGAAAGGTGTCTGCAGAGGACAAGACTGTCAATAGCCACACTAGTCAGGCGGCTCCTATAAGAATATTTCTAATAAAGAAAGCCAGCTGTTGACATTGCACAGCAGCATGACTCGGGGAAGTTGGGAGAGCCCATCAAATTTAGGAAGGATTCTTCCAATGAATAAGCGGCAACAGGACATGAGACTTACAGGCCAGAAATGTCCCTGCCATGTACCACATTTTGCATCATGGTCAGGGCTGTGGGGAAGTAAGAAGCAAAATATAGTCCCCTTTGGGATAGTGGACAATAATATTATAAAATGTAAAATTCTACTCAAAACCAACCTCAGGTTACTCTTTGATGAAGCAGCTACATCCGGGTGCCCTCCTCAGATTTTTGTTCAGTTGCCCTCCTGTTCCAAGATGAACCATCGCAGGTGTGTGTGCTTCTGTCTGTAAAGCAGTAGGTCAGCACAGTGCTTGGACCTGGCCCTCAGCTGCCACCGCCAGCCTGTGTGGCCTCATGAAGCCAATGAGGGTTCTCATTTCCACAGTGACAGCGTCAGGGTCTTTCTCATGGGTTCATTGTGGTGTTTCACTGAACTGATATTGGAAATTAATCCCAGAGAAACCATGAGTTTCTACCTCATTATTAGTTATTATCATGGTTACCTCTAAAACTCACCCTCTAACCCTCAGGTATGTGGTCTTTGCTCACCTGGGACATGGGGCCACAGTCCGGAGTATGGGGAGTTGAAGTTCTTGGCAGTTTTAGCTAAGACAGTCAGTAATCAAAAAATATTTGTTAAAACAAATAACTTTACTTTCTACTCTTAAATATTTAAATGTTTGTTAGAACACCCTTAAAGGTAAATTAGATTAAAAATGTGATTTTGTCTACAAGTCAGCAAACAACAAACGGCAGGCCAATTCAGCCCCTCGTGTGTTTTGATATGACCCGTAAGCTGAGAATTTTAAAATGGTTCTTAAAAATCAAACCACAATTAGTATTTTGTGACATGTGAAAATTACATGAAATTGAAATGTCAGCATCCATAAATGAAGTTTTATTGGAACTCAGCCACACCCATTCATTTCACCCTAAGGGCAGAGTTGAGCAGCAACACATGTCTCACTCACAAAACAGAAAATATTTACTTTCTAACCCTTTCAAGAAAAGTTGGCTGTCCCCTGATTTTGTTTCCTTTTAACTTGATTCTTAATGTCCTTTTTTTTTTTTTTAACCTCACCCAGGGACATTTTTGCATTTATCTTCAGACAGAGTGAGAGGGAGGAACAGAGAGAGAGAAACATCCATGCGAGAGAGACACACCGAGTGGCCGCCACCCACATGACCCCAAACAGGGCCAGGGACAAACCAAGGTACATGCCCCTAGCAGGAACTGAACCCGGCTCTGCGGGGCGACGCACCAACCGCTGAGCTAAACCGGCCAGGGCTTAATGTCTTTTTATTTGCTTGTGCCAACTGATTTTCAGACTGAAGAACTGAAGGGTGAATGCAAAAGACACAGGTTTGAAAGTGAGAAGATGACAAAGTATTAGTTTTAAAAAGACACTCAGGCAAATGCATGATCCTCACTCATTTAATTTCTAAGGAAACCCGATTTCCAGAGGAAATAAGAAAGGAAACTATTAAAGTATAATTTTTCTGAGAGAAAAAAAAAGACATGGAATAAAAGAGCCTTTTTCCTACCTCCTCATCTGTTCTGCACATATTTTGGGTTTTTAATCTCCCTCATCTGAGATATATATATATATGAAATCTCAGGAAGAAATGTGGTCAAATGTAAAACAAAACATAAAAATGTTCTTTGGCTTTGTTACAGTTTTTTCAAACGCAGCAGTTAGCAGGTTGTTTTATTTTTCTTTTCAGTTTCACTGATAGACAGCCCTCTTCTAACTAACTGGTCTTTTGCTTTTTGTTTTTCAAAACATCTCTTAGAGGAACCACATGTAAGCAAGACAAGCTCTCTAGCTTCTGCTGATTTACTTAAAAATAAACACCAAGCCTGTGTTTTTATACACTGTTTTCCATGAAGTGTTAGTTTTTATCATTGTAGACTTCTAGGGCTCTAAAAAAAATGAGAAGCCACATTCCCTATCCCAAGCCTCTGAGAGCTAGCCTGCATCTCAGTTTCTTCTGTGGTTGGGGACGCAGAAGCCTTCCCATGCCAGGTGACACACCTCCTACAATAAACAGGAGGGAAAGGTGACCTAGCAGACCCTGTCTCAGGTTGTCAGTTAACACCAAGAGACTCAGCTGGAGCAATTATTTCAGTGGTGGTAAAGTTACCATTGTAATTAGCTAGTTACTAATAATAGAAAAGGAGCAAAAGGGAGGCCAAACATTACAGGCACGGCCATTTAGGCAGCTTCACCAGGAAGCTGCAATTTCACACGCCCCAAAGAACTGCCGGTCCATTCCTTGCAGACCCCTGGGGGAAGGGGGTCAAGCAAAAGGAAGATAGACACGTGCATAGTGAAGTAGGGGTGACTTTGGGAAGGTACCTATCAGTCGAACTTGGAACAAAGATAATTAGCTAGAGGGGGTAAAGCAACTGGAAGCCTGAAAAATCTTAGAAGGTTAAAATCCCCAGACAAAAGAATTCTCTCTCTTGTTCCTCTGGTTTTGCTCCTACTTCCTTGCATGTGCCCATGTGCCCTCCATAACCATGTGTTCCAGAAAGCCGCATGAACCATGGCCATGTGAACCACACACAGTGGACTGACGGACTGCAGCTGGGAACGCAAGCTAAGCAACCTGATGCTGGATTGGACTGTGCAAATATGGAACAGAAACTTTGGGCAACTTCTTTAATCCCAGCTCAGCTGAGGACACGGTTTCTTCCACGGCGGAATGAAGGGAGAAGGGAACTTGGATATTCAGGGATTTAATTCCATTCAAATAAATGCCACTTATTCTCCCATGTGAGTCTCAGAAAATTCCTTTTCTGGTGACATTGCAAGAAGCCCACTTCACCCCCAACAGGTGGGGACATGAAGAGCTCCCAACCAGTAACAGTAATGCTGCAATATTTCCTCTTGTGGAAAAGACTCTTTGGTAGCCCCGAGAAGATTTTGTCAAATGCCATTGTGTTGAATGATGTCTTGAGGCTTTGACATGATATAGAACCAACTATGGACAAGTCTCTCACCCAGAGTACCTGTAAGAGGGATGTGTTATCAGAGGGAAGTTTATCATCCTCCTAATGGCCCTTGGAAATAAAACTCAGAAGCAACGAAGACCTCCCTTGGCACATTCTGGAGTCAACACCCCCCCTTTCCTGGGCCACCTGTCCTCTTTGGCACTGGCTCTCCAACACCTACCTCTCCACCTGCATGATTTTCTGTTATTTCAGAGACTTACCCTGAAACCCTTTCAAGTCTGTCGCTGGAAGGAGTAACCTTCAGTTATATGCAAAATTCAATTAAGGGAATCCTCTCAGTGAATGAAGGAGACCTCTCGTGTGCCCAGAGTTAATCAGTACCAATTTACAACTTCATGTTATTTGTAGGAGAGAATAAATTTGAGCTGAAGTGGTAATAGAAAGGAATAACTTCACCTTCTCCAGAAACAGTGCCCTTGAAGGACAGCTTCAGCATCCTGGATGATTACCAGCCCAGAGGGTCCAGAGGGGACAGAACCCCACACCTCAGTTTCCAGGTCTCCAGAGGGGTGAGCTGAAGGAGATGGAGCAGGAGCAGTAATGAGCCCAGGGAGTAGCCAGCTACCTCTAAGACAACTTCCTGTGAAGAAAAGAAAGAGTCAAAGCCCACATGTGCTCAGAAAGCCATGTTGAGTGTTCATTTCCAAAGGACAGGACATGAGCAGCTCAGGAGGCAGGGTCACAAGGCAGTGGGATAATGTACACAGTAAGAGGCCACAGGAGCATGGGATGCCCTGGGGGATTGGCAGGTGCCTGGGGTCAGGGACTGCTTCCATCTAGGAGGTAAAACCATGGCCAAACCCCCATGGGGATCGGTCTCAGGCTCTTCTCACAGCACAGAACTAGATTGAGAGGCAAAGAAGATAAGAACAGTCTAGTTTTTCCAACTGAAGCAATGTTGTTTGTGAGGAAAAGGAAGCTCATACTGTCAAGTCTCCTGAGGCTTCCATTTAACCTGGAAACACCAGTTACCAATGGCACGGCATCCAGGTTGAGTGATTTCAGGCTCACACTGGTAAGTAGGTTGGAGCTGCAGATACACGTCCTGCCTGATCATTTATGTCCAAGGACTCAAACGCTAGTGGGGCAAGGAGCACGGAGTTCTGTTCTGGGCATCACACTTTAAACCTGATCAAATCCAATTCACAGGAGACCATTGGATCAAGGTATCACACAGAACAAAATACAAGTCTCTCCCCTCAATGTTGCTCCAAATTTCTCAAAATGACAATGGAAAAACATGTTTAAAAACAGAACAAATCCATTAGGTCTGTGACATGAGAAAGAAGTGCAGCTTCAGTGTTGAGACCACTAAGATATTTTTTAGGTTGTTTTTGTATCAGCTCACTTTAATTACCCCAGGACAAAACTTAATAACTTGAAAAAGAGTACTTACAATTTTAAAAAATAATAAAACCTGAAATATATAGCATTATGTTAGCAGTCGAATGGCAATAAAATTGATATTTAAGACTGAAAAAATGGATCAATGTTATCTTGTAGCAAGATATTTGATAAAAATCTTGGCTTTTATTTATTGGAAGGCAGACCACATGCCAGTGGATCTTGGTTCTAGAGAAGAAGATGAACAATGAATGTTAGTCGAGTGTACTGGCCATAGCTTCTCTTGTAAAGCACTTCTAAGAAGGAGATGAGTGCAGAAAAGGAGGGGCTAGTGAGCTAGCAGTAATAATAGGGAACAGGAGTCAAGAAATTCTCAGCCTTGCATAGTTGGAATGGAAAGAATTTGGCTTAAAATCACGGCTCAGATGAAGGTGAACCAGTTTGTATCAATCATTCAACAACAAGAAATAAAACTTCCTGGTGTTAAAGTACTGAAATGCTGGGGCTGTTTGTTACAGCAGCTAGCACAAATTCCCCAAGACAATATTCTATGTGCTAGTCACAAGCAACTGGAAAGTATAATTGGGGAAAGAAGGTCCAAGTCACAAGAGAAAAAAAACTGAGATATGCATCTACTAAAAAATGTGCAAGAACTATTAAAATATCTGTAAAAGTTACAGAATATCTCAAGAAAATACATAACAGCCAGTCTTTGCAGTCATTCTCACCTGTCACCACATAACCAAGCTATAGTGGGATGGTGGCGACCCCTAGAGGCTCATAAAGGAAACTGTTAAATTTAAACTCCAACATCTCTAGGCTTAGAAGATTCATGAATCATGGTTAGACTCATGAATGGACAGGTTATTCTTTCTATTCTGGTACTGTTCACACCACGGTATTTCCACTTAAGG